GAGAGAGAGAGAGAGGTGAAATGGCTTTCTGTAATTGATTGTCAAGGCTGAATTATTGAAGGCAATGTGTTGAATAAAGGACTACGGTCAGGATTCACTAGGGTCTGGAGCCCGACTCTGGCAACTAGACTTGGATGAGTCTGTCAGAGACTTGGTAGAGTTCTTAAAAATTAACAGTGAAATACTTGGAAACACTGAGACTTGATTGGTTCCTATGGCTTTGGTTCCGTATAAGGCAGCCTGCTGAGTCTGGATGACTCAGGCGACTTACTGAGTTATGGATGGGTTATATGTTGTATTACTGGTCGAAAGAGTCAAAATAACTTATCAGGATGGGTTATATGTTGTATTACTTGATATTGTTAGACCTGAAATGGTTCTAGTATCTGACTTCTATGGAGGAATCATTGGATGAGACATTTTCTCAACAAGTTTGTTTTATGCTCGACATATTGTTAATTTTCAAATGCATGGCTTGTCAGGATTGAACTTGAGGTCATAAAATGTTTCTTGGGATAGAATGGGGTATCTGATGCCCCTGCTAGGAAAACGAGAAAATGAGTCTGAAATCAAGAGTATATTTTATTTTTTGTTTTCAATGGTAAGCTTCTATTGTTTCAAAGGTTAAGAACAGAGATAGCTCATTTGAATCCTGGCCTCTTACTCAGGTTCAATTGGAATGGCAGATTCCACCATGGCCCCATTTCTAATGAAGCTATGGCCCCATTAGAAAGTAGCAAAGTCTTCTACCATGGCTGGGGTCACTCGCTCGTTGTGGAAGGGGAATCACATGATGTCATTTCCTGGGCTTCATGGCCTCTCCCTGTCCCTTGAGGTTAGAACACATCATTGATCAACTTATGAGCTCTTTAAATGTGAGTATAGGACATGTGGGGTGAGGTATATGCCACAGCAGATGTTTAATTAGCTAAGGATGGGGTGACAGCCCAAAATTTTGTATTAACCTGAACATAACCTGGATCTCAATGTTGGACAGTTTGTTTGTGTTTATATAATCTGTCCTTATTTTTTGCATGGGGGATACAATCATGTTATACCTTCAATATATTCAATTACCTTAAAAATCATCATAAGTCCTGAGAGAGAGGGGAAGAAGGGGTGAGCAGGGAACTGATGCAATGAATAATAGGGGGGACTACGCAGCCTAGTGAAGGGGTCTGGTAGTCTGGTCTATGGTACCCAGATTGAGCAAGGGAAGTAGCAATGTCATTAGCACCCCTCGGTACACGTTTAAATGTAATGATTTCATGGCATGAATTATGAAGGATCTCTTCCATTGTATCCAGCAAAACTCCATTCCCTTTAGTCCATCTTATGACATTTATTGAGCCTTCTTTCACCTTTAGTGGGCCTAGAAAGGATTGAAGGAATGTCCGAAATCCTGCAAGCAAATTCTTTGCTTCAGCTGTGTTAGCATCACTCGAATATGTCCCAAGTAACATCAAGTGACACCACCAACAGTGGACATGCGCCAACAGAACTCCCATCAAAGTTGAGTTTTAGGTGTCCTGTTGGGGAAGGATCCAAGTGGAATGGTTCCATCAGCTTGGGGTATGAAGTTTGGCACTCTACACCACTCTTGAACTAGATAAAGTCCAAAAATCCAAGAAGCTCTTTATAAGCCAGCCCCCAAGAAATGTTGGATACTTCCCCGCAAAGATAATGTTGTTCCTGTCCTTCCAACGACCCTAAAAGATGGCCAAAGGGAGAGCAACTAAGGAACTCTACCCTTATCATCAAAAGGACCACCTCTCTATCTTGTGTGGATCTTGGTTGTCAATTGTGGATAGGTTGACCTCGGGCTGAGGCTTTATGATGTGAGGAGTACAAGGGCAACAAACAAGAACGTTATAGACTAACTCTTCATCATTACAGCACACCAAGCAGATATTTGGAATTGGAATTCCCTATTTGCAAATGGTTAGCAATCAAGGGCTTATCACGTACACTACCCAGCCAAAACATTGTACTTGCAGAGGGGCAGGTGTGCCCACACTAGCTCCCTAGGTCAGGTGCCCAATCCAAATTGAAGAGAGTAAAGTTTGAAAATGTTTGAAAATCTCCATATAAGCCTATCTGATCCCTGCCTGGGCATGTACACTGTATCAAGCAATGTTTGAAAATGTGGCTCGGCTGCAGAATGGGCCTTCGGTGAGCTGAGTGACTCAGGCAAGTGGACAAGCCCATGTCAAGCCTCATAAAGAGCAAAAAAATACAAATAAAAAATGGGAAAAATCATGAAAATGGTCAAAATCAGGGGGGAAAATGACGAACAACATAAAAAATAAATAAAAGATGAGAAAAGATGGAAAATAAAAAACTAGTTAAATATCATTTTCCCAGAGAAAATGAGAAACATAGAAAAATAATTAATTTAAAAAATATAAAAATATCTACAAAATTAATTTTAAATCAATTATAATTGATTTGGTAAAAGACTAAATCAATTATTGATAACTCCCACGTTGGGGCATGTTATGTGCTCAGTAGTTTGCTATGCCTAAGTGACTTGGTCAAGTCCAAGTCGACTTGCCCCCAGTCGGTAGATACTGGTATCAAGCATGGCCAAGAGAACGAGGGAAAAAAAAATCATTTGCCTCAGGGCATTTGCATGGCCTGTGAAAACCGGGGACCTAAGAGTCTTGCATCGTTGCCTCTCATATTGGTCCTTGACAGCCAACGATGTGGGGTCAACATGCATGAGCTTGGAGAAGTGCCCTTGTAAATGTTTATCCCCACACAAAATATCTAAGTAGAATAATTCCTATCTTTAGTCCCAATATTGTGTCCGATGGCATTCTAAAAAGAAGTAACAGACAATATCCCTTCTACAATCTTGAGGTCACTGTTGCATAAAGTAGCCTGCCTAGAGCCTAGGTAGCTGCCCTGCCCTGCCTAGGGGGCCAATGCACCCCACCTGTGCCGAGGTGGGCCATGCTGGGCATCCTGTTCTTGGGTGGCACCCAGGCAGCCTGGATAGGTGCATAGCCCCGCACTTACCCCTTGTCCAAGGGTGGATGTTGCCTTCGAGCAAGGGTTCATTTCCATCACTTTTTTGTTTCCTTTATAAAAAAAAAGGAATTTTTTTTTTTTGGTGGGGGGTGGGACACGAAGCATGGGATTTCTAACCCCATGTGGTTTTAAGGTTATTTTTCACTAAAACAAAAAAAAAAAAGATTTGTCAATTTTGTTTAAGATCGACAAAATTTGAGAAGTTTATGAAATCATCCGTAACCTCACCTTTTTTTTATAGGATTCTTTGTGAACTATAACGAGAGGTTATAAGACGAATTTTTGGGTGATTTGGAATTAGTTAACTTAGTTTAATCTTACATTAGTGAGTGAATGCAATTTTATTACAGTTGTAAAATAACAGCTTAGTTGTGCTTTTGGATATTTATTTGCATATATACTTGGTCTCATATATATATATATATATATATATATATGCGCATTTGGAGTGCACATATGTGCATATATTGTGGCTAGGGTGCTCGCCTAATGCCCAGACCCCACCGGGCCGCTGCACAACATTTTTGAATAACCTTTCCTGAGACTGTGAAGTTACTATGGCTTCGAATTTTCCACCCATCTCCTTCTTTACTGTATTTACCCACAACCACCTCTGGCCGAAGTGAGTTCATTCCAGAAAGAATCTCCATTGTAAACCTAGATTGGTATGGCCCAGCCATGTAATCCTCAACGTTCGAATCTCTTTGGATGGCAGATCCCTTCGCACTTGACTATGTTCTTGTCCTCTCATTATAACCTTGCCATCAGCATTGTCTTTAAAGGTATTCTAGTTCTCCAAGCAGTTGACGTGGGTCTGTCCCTCAATATAAGCATGTAGTAAATGGGGATGGAGGACAAGGTCGTGCTGCTAGAGTTGCTCTCCCAGCAAAGACAGAAGCAACCCTACTCATGGTGCCAATCTTCTTTCCTCTTGCAACCCTCTCAATGATTGAATCCCAATGCCTTTTGCCCCTTTGTGCCTGGGGAGTTTGTCCGTTTAGGAATGGGAATAAAAGGCTTATGGGCTACTATCTCCATAATATAGCCTTGAAAAATTTCTGATTTTTCTTTGTTGTGTTTAGGATTCGTTTATGTGGTACTTGAGGAAAGGAGGAGTAGATGAGTTATTGAGATTATTGGGATTGATTGAATTTCTCAAGGTGGGATAGGAAATGAGTTTGGGTTGTCTTAGTTATCTATGTAGTTAGGCTTGATTTCTATGAGTAGTTCGGCTTGATTTCTATGAGAGACAGACACTAACTTGAGACTTCAATTTCCCTTGCTTAATTCAGGCGTCACATCACTAAATATATACATTGGAAGAATTGTTTATGGAGAGTATGTTATAACACTCATGTATTGCAAGTTTGCTGG